GAGCAGCATCGGATCACTTTTATAATAAGAAAGCGAAGGCGGCGAACAACACCAAAAGTTTTTTTTGAGGAGTTTATGAATCACCGCCAAACAGAACCATTTCGTGGGCGCTGGATGCCCACGCCCATGAAGTGACTGGTAGCTTATCGTTCCTGCTCCTAGATGGCGGGAGCTGTACCGCCTGAAGGTATGCTGTTCCGCAGGGCTCTCAGCACGCATGAAGAAATGGCAGTGTCCGTGATGTGATAAAACAGTATGAAACATGAAAAGCTAAATTAAATAAAATGAATACCGAACCTTATCACATATTTAACTGATGTGCGCCTTCTCGGTGAATCTGTCGAATTCTGTAAGAAAAGTGAATGTTTCTCAATTTTATGTCAAGTGAGCAAAGCATTTGAACACGTGATGTTAACACGTTAAATGTGACGCGCATAATGGTTGACATCTTCATCACCCAGGCTAATATAAGCTCAAGGTGGACAACGATGCCACTTTATTATGGTGCAAGAAACCACCGGATTTCTGAGACGCATCGCTTAATTGAGAAGGACCTTCTCAACGGTGAATGAACCAAACATATAGTTGATAGTTCAGATTTGTTCATTACAGCCACAGCAGATGGTACCTACATGGGCAAGTAAATGCCCATTGCAAGGGAATGTCATGTCGAGCATTTGCTACAAATTCGTCTAAAATGCGTATTTACTTTCTTTAATGTTCATGTTATTCCGGTAGATGCTATCAGACGTTTTCTTTCTGTTAGAGGTTACACAGCGCGCTCATAGTTCACATATTACCGAAATAACTAATTTGGATTTCAATACTAGTGGCGTCATGATAGTTTTAATTTTAAGTCGATTGTGACGACTATGCCCTGATGCACAACAATATTTACAATTGGTACCTGTCATTGGAGTTGGTCAATGCTTTATCAGTAATCAAGGCTGTAAGTGGACGGGTAAAATGTTGTATAAGAATTTACCGTGCGGGAGTTGAAATCAAGAGCAATAGCCAAAACGGAAGCTAAGCTGGTTCAATTTAGGCTTTAGCGGCTATGACTGGCTGAACACCGTGGCAAGTGTTCCCCGCGGGCTCGTAACTTTGCACAATGCACAGTGCGTTGTTTAATTAAGGCACTGGCTTGTACGTTTGTCCATACCATGCAGCTCGCGGACTCATTGCACCTTCTTTTTCTCCACAATCACATATTTTGCTATACTTGGAAAAGTGTTACGGCCTTGATATTCCCCATGTTCAGGTTGGGGTCATTTCTCTAAAAATTATGTGCCAGAGCTTCTCAATATTTAAATCATAATTTTGTTTGATGTCCTGCTGTGAGCTACCTAAAATTACCAGCTGACAGTAATTACAACACACTTCGATTCTTACCTCAATCAAATAACTTGCCATGACCAATCGAGGGGTTACTGGAGGAGCTAAAATTCACCTCGCGGCTTATGTTGCCACCGTTGACCGTATATTTTATATAATAGGTATTGCTACATGTAACTGCGGGGACTATTCCGTCATTTTATGCCGTAGACTCATGATTATGTGATGTGTTTTATGTTATGTTACATTTATCCACTGTAAACACCAATTTTCATCATCTTCTAATGACCATGTACATATTTAAAGATACATATGCTCGGGGATATTATGCTAATAGCGACACCGTATCCCATACGCCATTCTTCCTCGCCGCGGCATATTACACGACAAGCATAAAGAACACGGATACTGAATTCCCGGAAACTAATGTGTTTAACAATTTTATAGTGTCAACTGGAGGAGAACAACAGGCAAAACGTGAAAGTTGTGTGGCGAACCTCGACGGTTCCGTTTTAGTTCAGTTCACTTCCTTTTTGATACCGTTATCCTCCGCTTTTCCCCATGGGACTTACCATGCATCATAATTACATCATTACCGTTTTAGCCCTTTGTTGGACCCATAGCCTCGGTAGGAGAAGGCCATAAATAGTGCCATCGCTCATGTGTTTGAAGCCACCCAGTGCAGTGTGTATTTTTAGCGCCGTGTAACAACACAGCTAATCGCCTCCAAATAGCTCATGTGGCCGCCGAGCTAATATCGGAGCCGCAAATCAAACAGGGCCTGTGCGCCGAGCCGTTTTATGAGTGTGTTCGCGGTGGTGCGACACGAGTGTTATCTGCGCTGACCGGTGTCGGCACTGCCGGCTGCCGCGGCCGGTCCGACCGACCGACCGACGGCCCGGCTCGGCACGGCCGCGGCGGTAGGTCGCTGCCGCCGCCGTCGCCGATGGTTTTGTTCGTGGCTGTTCCAGCTAAACTTAAATCTTATTACGCACCGCATCTTTATTGATATTTGTAATCCAATTGTCAGAAGTGATTTTACGGATGCGATCAGTTTTGGACACATGTAATCGCCGGCGTCGCTGTATTGATCGCCACAGCGAGGTGGTGGTCCTCGCATTAGCGTTCAGCACACGGCTCCAGCCACCCCTGTTGGTGTTCTGCTGTATCGGTAACGCGTTACTTTCCTGGCTATCTGAGTATCACGGGCCGAGATGGCTGTATCTGTGACTGCTGCAGGTGGCTGACTGAAGGAGTGACCGGAGGTCAGGCAGGAGGGGCGGTGTGGGGTCAGGCAGAGGGGCGGGCGGGGAGAGAGCGGGAGGGTGTGGCGGCGCCGTCACCTGCTCGGCTCGACGGGGCCCACAATGGAACCGGACCGGGCCGCGACACCCGCCATCGATTGCCGCCGCGCCGGCAGGGGAGCCGCCGTCGGTCGGTCAGAGCTGAGGCCGGGGGCGGTTAGAGTTGCAGCCAAGGGTGGTTAGAGCTGTGACTGGTGAGGGTCGGAGCTGTGACTGGTGAGGGTCGGAGCTGTGACTGTTGGATGTGGACGGTTGCAGTTATAGCTCTGGCCGGCAAGGTCAGAGCCATAGCCACAGCTGGGGACGGTCTCTGAGATCTCGGTCGATCTCTGAGACAGTGTTAAGTCCCCCGTCCGGTCTCTTGAGTCCTGATGCGTTCTCCAGTCGACGGGCCGGTCTCTGACGCGGTCTCCAGTGACTAGTCGATTGCTCGGTCCCCGGGACGGTCCATCCGTCCGTGCAGGGCGGACGGGCGGCTGGCGGCCGGCCCACGGCGCCCGCGGCTCCACGGCAGCGCGCCATCTTATCGGGGCCAACATCGGCGCGCGCTCGGCCGTCGCCAGCTGCCTCCGTGCGCTCTCTGTCCGCTCTCTGTCCGCTCTCTGTCCGCTCTGTTCGCTCTGTCCGCTATCCGTCCGCTATCCGCCACTCTATCTGCGGCCTCCTCCCCGTCCTGTCGTCTGCCTCTCCCTCTCCAGGCGCTCCCGCTGCCCTGGTTCTCTGGAAGGCCCTGTGTGTGGGAGGAGTCTGCGGCCAGACAACAATTACCGGGGCGTACATTTTTGATTTTACGCGTAATTGGAATTGCTGGTCGGCACGGGCGGCCGGCTGACAATGATGAATTGATACGTGTGAGCAATGGTTTCCGAATTCCGCCGGGCGCGGCGCGCGACGCCGGAGAATGCGCGCTGATTGACGGGGCGCTAACGGGACGGCGATACAGCGGCAGCTCGTTCAGCAACCGCACAAATTACGCTGCGCTGAAATTTGGCGCAGCTCCCCTGCAATTACCCGGGCGCGGCGCGGCGCCGCCTGATCCTATCGCGCTAATGTACGATAAACGCACGGTAATAGGTCGCGCTAGCCAAGTTGAAATATAACTAACCGCTGATTAAGTTAGATTTCAGGCTTGTGTTGGCCGGGCGCGCGGCGAGGGCGGGGTCGTGCCGGCCGGGTGCGTTATCCGTCTGAAGGCACCAGTGGCCGCCGACACGGCGCGAGCAGCACACGGCAGAGAGTGACATGTTGGTCTGTCGGGCGCGGCGGGCGGCGCTCGACCAAAGCGGCTCCACCGGCGCTGCGGTGCGCCAATCCTCGTCTCCGCTGCCGCTTATGCGCGCCGCACAAACCGGCGCGGCAAGCGGAGAGAAAAACGTCGCGGCGGCGGCCCACAGTAATTAGCGACTGCGATAAGGCCTCAATAAAAGGCAGCCGGGAGAGGATAAACGTGACGGTGTCGGCGCTAAGTGGACGCGGCCGGCGCGCGGCCCGAGCCCGCTCTCCCACCGCCGCGCGGCGCGGTGACGCCAGCAAGTAATTGGCTAGGTTCCCAGCCGCTCGTCAATCGGACGATGATTTTTCCCCGGCGATCGACTCAAAAGGCCGCCGACTCAGCGTCACCAAGGATGCAGTTATGGAAATCAAGAGAAACGCTCACCGCCGTAACTTTTATAAGCGCGTTTTCTTTCCCAGCGGAAGCGGAGAACACAAAACATTGAACAGGTCACACTGAATCAGGTAACTTGATTTGCGGCAGGTGTGACTTTCAGCAGCTTCAACGGTTCTCCTTCCCACGTCTTCTTGTATGCGTATCCCGTATGGCGTGTGACTCTGCTTCAGTTTAAAAGGCAGGCAACAACCAGCCTCTAAATCTGGTGACGCGCGAACTGGCGTGCCGGACACTACTGAACACGACCAGGTCGGCGGAAACGGCGCGCTGCTGCGCCGTCCGCTGTCGTCGCGCCATATTTGCGCGTGTGTCGCGCTGTTCGCCCCAGTGCGGTACACGCACTGCGTGCCGGAGCGCCGGGCACGTGCCCCGTGCTGCCGGCCGTAGAGCGCCGCTCGTGCGTCGTGTCCGCGCCGCCGTGACGTGACTGACCGCGCCGCTCCGGCGGGACGCTCCAGTTTTACGTGTTCTGGGCTGGGTGCCGAGCTGAGCCGGAGTTGTCGGACATTCTGTGACAGCTGGGTGGTGTGACAGTCCCTCCCGCCCCGTGCTTTTGTGCACTTGTTTCTTTGTGTGTCCGTGTGTCCGCTTCTCGGTGTGTGTCTTTGTGCCTGTTGTCCAGTGTGAAGACAATGCCTGGCCATTTCTGACCATTTCTGACCGTCCACGCTCCGCCCCGTTTCTGCCGGCAGCGCGGATGTCGGCGGCTGGAGGACAGATGTACCGCTCCCACCTGCCCACCTACCCGTGGATCGGTGACAAGGCCATGATGGCGCCCTCCGCCTCCGCCTGGTGCTCGCCCTTCTCCAAGGCGCAGAGTCCCGGCATCCCCACCTCCATCGCCCACTCGAGCCCGCACCTGTTCCACTTTCCGCCGACGCCGCCCAAGGACGGCACGCCAGAGACCTCCGCGGCGCAGACGGCGGCCTCCTCCAGCATGGCCTCCGCCACCGCCTCGGCCTCGGCCTCGGCCTCGGCGGCGGCGGCGGCGGCAGCGGCGGCCGCCGCCGTGGCCGGCATGTCGGGCGAGTACGGCCAGCACTGCGGCCAGCTGCTCGGCGCCCCCGACGGACTCGACATCAAGCCCTCCATCATCCACGGCCTCGCCAAGCAGCGCGAAGGTAGCGGTGCGCCGCCGGCCGAGCTGGCCGCCGCCGACGCGTACCAATACCCGGGGGCGGCGGCGGCCGGCGCCGAGTACCCGCCCGCCTCCGCCGCCGCCGGGTACGGCTTCTATCCCAGCGCGTTCGCCGCCAAAAGTGTGTCGCCGCGCCCCAAGGCGAAGGCGCGCTCGTCGGCCGGTAAGCGAGTGATCCGCTCTTATCTTCCGGTGGAGGTGCAGTGCACGAACTGGTGACGGAGCCCGGCGCGACTAACAGCCTGCCTGCTGTACAGACGCACTAACACGTTCCGAGGGAGCGCTGCCGGTGACCCAGCGGCGCGCCCTCCTCGGTATACACCATCCTGTCTTTTTGCGTTTTGCGCGGTGGTAAGTTGGTCGTGCCGAACCCACTTTGAGCCCTTGACACCGCTGATGAGCAGGCCTTCATGGGCCAGCCTCTGTAAGTACCGAGTGCCCCTCACAGCGACAGCATCTGTATGTACCGGGGCCGGTGAGTGCCCCTCACGGCCTCTGAAGGTACCGGAGCCCCTCGCGGCCTCTGAAGGTACCGGAGCCTCTCGCGGCGTCAGCCTCTGAAGGTACCGGAGCCCCTCGCGGCGTCAGCCTCTGAAGGTTCCGGCGCCGGCGCGGCTGCCGTGCGCCCTGCACGGAGGAGCGCCACGAAAGGCCGACACCCACCGGGGATCGGCGGCGCCACCTCTGGCGCACGGCAGCGGCGCTAACTGGCCCCCATTTGCCGATCGGCTCGGTGGTCAGCCTCAGAGGGGGGCCGCGCCACGCGATCGGCCGCCGTCCGTGAGCCGGGCCCGACCGGTCACCGAGAGGCCCCGTCGGCAGCCCGGCGCGGACGGCGGCGGAGCGACGGGACCGTCCGCCTCCCCGGTGGTCCAGCTGGGGCGTGTATCATGACCGCGGCGCCGCGGCAGCCGCCGCCAATGTTTGCCTTGTGTGTGCCGCGAGTGCCGTCCCGCGGCGGAACACCACGTGACAAAAATACACCCCGCGGCGGTCCGGAACGCACCGGAACAACCGGAACGACGCGCGCCCGGCGGCGGCGAACAAAGCGCGGCGCTCGCCGGTGTGTCCCCCGGCCGACCTCTCCATCTGCCGTGTGTCGCCCGGCCTCTGACCCGGCGCGGCGGCACCGCCTTTGATGCAGCCTCAGTGGCCCTCCTCCAATGATCCGCACTCATGGCTCGAGTGTTGCGTGCGGCGCCCGGCCGGCCTAATCCGCGGGCCGCCGGTCGACGCGCCGCTCTCCACACGAACGAGAGCCGGTGGCCACTCAGCGCCGGGGCTACCGCGGCCGACTGGCACCTGTGTCGGACGGTCGGCGCGGGCCGCCGGGGCCCTGACAGACCCTCTCGGCCCACCACACCAGGGTGGACCCACGTGCCGACTGGACCTCCCAGGGCACACCGCGCCCCAGTCACTGCAGGGAGGCACCGGTTCTGACGTCACACGAAAATATCAGTCGGCTGGTTGTGGCACTGCCCCCTGCCGGTGCGACTGTGCTGCCACCTAGCTAAGCCTAGTCAGCCTAGGACGGGACGGTTTTACTTTTTCTCGTCGAGTGGGGCAGCTTGCGACGACACTCGGTCGACATAGCTGTGCTGCAACATACCCTGCAGGTTCGGAGTCTCTCGGACGGCCAATCCTGTTCCATAACCACAGCTAAGTCCCCGCTGACCTTAACCAGGATTGGCCGGACGACGTTGAATCTTCGTAGTTCTAGAGACACCGAACCCGCGGATAGTCTGTCGAAGCCTTGGCGGCTGAAGAAAGGCTAGACATATCTCACTTGATTTTGGCGTGGCCAGCCTCACTTCTGTAGTTTTGCTTCACAGCATTCCACGTCCTATTGAGTTTCCGGTTGCGTAGTACACGACCACGTTCAGAAACTTGATGTCTTTTAGATACATCACACAATGACAAACTTTTGGCAGCATTTACATTTGTTGCCTGCATATTTTGGTGAGGAAAAATGACTATCGCAGTAGTACAATCAAGACATACCACAAAGGATCAGAGCTAAAGCAGCATTATTAAGCAAAGGTGTATTGCATTGATCATCAGCATGTTCGTAAAATAAAATACATCACGAATAAAGATGACAACCAAGCCGGACCAGGACACTTATAACAAACATGAACGTTAAAGTGGCAACACAAATGAAAGAGAGAAGATGAATTTGCCCTTCGCAATCGTCAACCTAAAACAAAACTTCAAATATACAACAGACTTCTGTGCATTAAAAGAACATGAATATACTCGCTAGTCGCTTTGTCGTCGACACATAATGGGAACATCCTGCCGGCCCAGCCAAACAGCGCGCCCGCCTTCGAGTAGGAAATAGCAGCGGCCGCAGAAGTGGCCAACATATACATTGTTCGTCACGCCACCTGCACTGAAACGTACCAGCTATTTAATCGTGAAATGTAGCTAGCCATCCAAAAATGTTGCACTACACCAGCACTACCGCACAGTTAGCAGATAGGTACGGACCGCAGGCCCTGGTCTCTGTCTCTTCCGAGTACGGTCTCCGGACCAGTCACCAGCGCCACCATCTCCGCGCGGTAGCTATAGCACAGCTCTCCGGCCGGGGCCCGCAGTTCCTCGACCTCTTCGTCCAGCCAGACCAGACCAGCACGGCTCCCGCCCAGCGCCTGAAGACTCCGCCCTCCACAGATCCGTCCGTCCAAAGCCGGACAGCACACAGGGGCAGGAACGCGAGGTGCAGCGTAGCCACGCTTTCCCTTTCCGCCGCCGTGGCCCCAGCCCGGATCGGGCACACGTCCATCCGGAAGGTGACGCCAGCCGTCTGTTGCCACGGTGGGATTCTCGCTCTCGCCCAGGCCTGGCGGCCTCGCAATCTCCAGCCTCGGACCAAAGGCAGGCGCGCCGGTGCCGAGGCCTCGGCGGTCGCGCGCAGGGGGTCCCCTGATGGTAGACCCAGCGCCCTCCCCAGCAGCCTGGCAGCCAGCGTCCAGCTCCTCTCCTCCATCGGAGAAAGTCGGGCTCCGCCATTAGTGCGAAGCACGGTGTTGAGCGCGGACACAGGTGATGATGCGGCCGCCTCCCGCAGTCCTCGCTCCAGGAGATTCACGTGCGAGGGGGCGGCCGCCGGCAGCCACGCGACAGCAGCGTGTTCGAGCGCCCCTCGGACGTAACCGATTGACCACCGTACTAAGGGCACCCTCGTCCAGGCCCCAGCTATTCAACCAGGTCGACGGCGCCGTAGCCGTCAGACCCTGGTGATCACTCGAGCCACGCCACAGAGCTCACGCCTCAAAGCGGTTGGCTCTCCGGTCCTCGGCATCCGGCATCCGCAGTGATTTGGCGTAGCCAGGACACGTGAGATGCTGGCCTCAGTCATAACCGGAAAGCCTGTAAAAAAAAAACAATATGTGATTGACAAATGGAAATATATTGTATGCATAGAGTTGAGAAATCATGACGCACACTGCATTGTGACAGTAGATAGTTTAGTGTGATTGGCAAAGGAGGGACTTTTGTAATAAATCAATAAACAATTGAGGCATTGATTTGATTTTGTAGGTAGCTACCTACCCTTCTCATATGAATCTGGATGATTTGTACCATTAAGAAAAAAACATAGGCCTAGGATCGGGGGGGGGGGGGCATGTCCCCACTTTTCAGCTATGCTAATTTTTAAAGTAAAATATTTATTTTTCATTTAAATTCAAAACTAAGAGAAAGAAATTGTTCGGCAAGGTGAGAACTGAGATGAGCACGAAACTGCAAAGAATTTGTTCATAGGGGCATTGGGGTTCCCACAAAGTGACATTGAAGTTCTCTGCCCCCCCCCCCCCACACTTTACGTGAGGTTCCTGCGCCCATGGAAAAAAAAACACATTGCATTATGTGCATCAACACTTAACCCTTGCACTTAGGGAGGGCCACAAAGCCCACTATAAAGCCCACAAGACACCACCTGAAATCAAAGCATGACAAATGATAGCATGTAGGCACCTGACCTACTATAACCTACTGAACCAAACATACTCCATATATCAATATGTATGTGTAGGTAAAGTATGAATGGTAGGTTGATACCAAGGCTGTTTAGTAGGTTGTAGGCATGCTGAAAGGATGAAAGATGGGTATTTGTTCAAAAAATATCTGATCTACAGTTCATATAAATATGCAACATGGGGTCCAGACTGGAAAAAATACACGTTATGCCGAATATGTCCGGCGTAGTGGCGGGATTGCGCCGAAAATTTAAGCGCACGTCCGGCGTAACTTCGCATGCGCCGAATTCAGCGCATGGCGGCGGACGAATCTTTCGGTGCAGGGCGGTCGCATAATTTTTTGGCGAAAGACAGTCACCGAATTTATGTGGTACGCTGGTCAATCTAGCAGCAGATTCGCCCCGTGGGCAGCTCTGGAGAGGTTGCGGGACGAGACGTCCCCGCCCCGGTCGTCGCGTGCTCGAACTGGCGAGCCGCCCTGAGTCTACTCAGCGGAGGAACGGCCGCCCAGGTGACGCCTCAACCTTCGGCGTAGAGACAGACATGGAAAACCTTGTTGAACGTCGCCAAGCGTCGTTAAGCAATAGCAGTGGGTTCCTGCCCACTGCAGTATCGAGGGGAATGAGAGCGTGGACGATCTGGCAAAACTGGCGGCTGCCCTGCCCTCAAACGCCCGATCGCTGACCAGGGCGGTTCATTGTGCGGCCTCGCATCAGTGGCGCGACAACTGCTCAGAATCCCTATTCAAGCCACTCCTCGGGAGCACGCCGCCGCTCCCTCTCCCCGGAGAGGACCGAGAGGATGCCATTTCGGTGCACCAGATGAGGGCGGGCCACCGGGGCCGCTCGCTCCAATACGGCACCGAATCGGCTGCCTCCACTCCGCCACGTGCCATCAGTGCCCAGACAAGCGGTGCCCAGCGGCGCTCTGCACCGTGAGCCGAGAAGAGGCTGATGTGCCGGAGCACGTGCTGCTCCGCTGCCGGGCCCTCGCTGGCTCCCGCCGAGGTATTTGGTTTACGTGGAAATAAAAACTAATTCGGACGCTCAAACATGGGATAGCGTACAAAGCCCCGAAACACTCTGCCTGGTTGATATAGCCTTGATCAGTATATGTGCACATGTGCTTTATATGAAAAGGGCTTAATTTTCGCACAAATAGGCACCTAATTTTTGGCGCAAATCACTCAGAAATTTTAGCGCAAAATCGCTTGCGCCGAATTTCGGCGCAAGATGGTCTCACGGGCATCCGGGACCGGCGTAGTGTATGGATGTTTTCCAGTCTGGCATGGGGTTAGGTAAGGTTTGATTTTTGTTTTGTATTTGTATCACATGTAAATATCATATCTGGATTCAGGAAATCAAATAGTGCAAGAATGTACAAAATGTATGCCTGAAAAGTGAATCACTCTTTCTGAACATTTACCAAAAGTGGTAGTTTAGTACGCAAAGGTTAGGCTAGGGTAGATGATATTTTTTATCTTCACCATAGTTTACCTACACAGTAACCAAGAAATCCTCATCCAGACATAGGTAGGCATGGCAAATCGTCAAAAAGTTAATATTTTTCTGCTCATCAGCATTTGACCAAAATAAGGGTTATAGCATGTCTGGTTATTTCAGGTTATGTTAGGTTATATGTAGGTGAGGTTAAAACTTTAACAAGCTCTAAGACATAGGTATATACGGGCTTCATCTGAGATTAATATTGAGCTAGGGGTCTGGGTACCCACCTTCCTGTCAGGCCATGATACTTGACACACCATCCTGCTATCTGAGGTGGCCCAGGAACCAGCTCAAGCAATTACAATGAAAGTCAACAGTCGTGCTGGCATTAAACCATTCCCCATTAAAATATATCAAGTAATTTTAATGACGATAATTCCGCCACCACAAATCTTATGAAACACATGAGGGCTGTTCACGACGTCGGTTTATCCCGTTTAATAAACCGTAAACATGTTTATTTTTTGAAGGACCAATCAGCGTCGACCTGATCCTGACGTCACATCTCGTCAATGACGTCAGACCTCCGCCGTAAACCGTTTATGCGGTTGATGCCTCAGAGCATCAACATGGCGCGTAAACGCGTTTATGTGACAATGATGGCGATGTGCGGCAAACTCGTGAGGAGAGTTGTGAGTTAGGAAAATTGAATTCGGACAGTTCAGGGGCTGGTAGGTGGGTAAATGAGTTTCAAAATAACCCTGTACGGATTGCAGAGGACTGGAATGGGAGGTTTTATTATTTCATTGTAATTAAGACCTATTTTGAGCATCGTTCTCTGCTAACCAGCGTCTAGCGTCGTGGGTATTTTATGATGAAAACTGTCCTTATTCTTGCAATATGTCATGATATGGGACATATTTCCATCAGATTATCTTTTCTTTGCACCTTTTACAGTATCTTCTCAACTGCTTATTAGTTGTCACTGTTTAAGTAAACACTCGTGTTTCGTAAACGTAAACGCCGTGTGACGTCACAGCCGGGAACGTGCCCCGAGGGCAGTTTATATAAACCACATAAACCGACGTCGTGAACAGCCCTATGACCTTTGATATTCCGAAAAGAAATATCCAAAATGATTTAAAGCGAACGTGTTCTTACGCAGCTGTGACATAAGCTGCGCATACGAAAAACACCCGCTAGACCAATCGATGGCGAATAAACCTGTTGATGAAGAAATACTTGTCTCCCATTGGTCTGTGAACACAATCAGCAGGAAACGCAGCTTAAACTACAGTAAAATTTTGTAGGAAAATCAGCAGAAAGTAAGAAAAATGCAATTTAAACATATTTAGCCAATGAGTCTGGCCAATCTGTTGATATATTCCGATAGATATTGAGCACGATCAGTCATTTTGAAAGAATTACGGTCCGACTCTCTTTATTTTTAAAGCAATGACGCATAATATGATTATTGAAAAATTGACAAATATATTTTCTTGGAGGGAAAAGTGGGACTAGCGTTAAATTAAAGATCAAAATTAATATACTGATCGAGACCTCGCTTCCCAAGGTATTTATCAGTGCATTTTCGCATCGAATCTCTCTCAATCATGAACAAACTTGGGCAAAAACAGCAAGATTGCCTGTTTTGTCAATTCACACATTTTCATTTTTGGGGGCAATTTTAAAGTTGATGGCCAATGTTTTCAAAGTCAACATTTCCACAGGAAAAAAATGCAGCTATTTTTCTTCCAAATTCATTCATTTGTAGAGTCCGACTCTCTCTTGTTTTCTCGCAGTTTCCGTTGTGCTGTGAGAGAAACGATCATATGTATCATAAGCGTTTGGCTCACTTCAAGACGGCATAATTTTCACTTGCATTTTCTGCCGTGTGGAAGATCAGAGGGAGTCAGCTAATTTATGACAGAATGTGCTTAAAAAATGACTGGTGAATAATATCTTTTGTCAGTGTCCGACAAATATTTATATTTTAAATCACGCTCTTCAGCTGTCAAGTGAGCTCCAAATGGCCTAAATTGTCAGCTGTTTATCATCCTAGGTCAGCTCAAGGTCACAGACGTCAGCTGAAGAAAGTGGTGACCATTGGCCCTGTGTTGAGCGGACAAACCGGTGTTACCTAGTATTCTATGTACCGTGAGTCACTGGGGAGGGCTGTTCCCAGGGAGGTGGTTTGGCAGTGCGAACAGAATGTGCTCCGCCGGGCGCAGAGGGCTCCGTCCCGCCCACCAGTTACAGACAGCGCGCGCCGCCCCGTACAAGGTGTAATTATCGCTGGCTGCTCCCCGCGGCCTGTCGTTAGGGTTTGCGGCTAACGAGCCAGCGAGGATCCAGATGATTGATGACCCGGCCCTTTAAGAAGCACACCGAGGAAATGTTTCCCTTAGTGCTGATGTCACCGAAACGCTATGCGGATTATTGGCTTAAGAGGCGTGGGGGTGAAGAAATTAATTGCTTTTCCCTCAGCGGTAGCCAGTGACGACTAGCAGACTTATGGAAACGTGTTTTCTGGGAAGGCTCGACTGTACATAAGAGTGAAGGATTACCGCACACCGGTCCCGTTTTCCGCACGAGCGTAATTAGTTAGCATGGGGAGGGCACTCGCGTAACTCGCGTAACCGGCATACCGTTTATAAATACGGCGTTCATTATCCTCGTAATTACCAATAACACATTCGTTACTAACAGCCGCCTGCTATTACTTCTTCCATTTTATGCTGTCAGGAATTCGCCTACTCGCTCGTGTTTTCGTGTAGAATGTATCATCAAGTAAAGTCGATAATTGAGCTCTTGGATGCCAATCAAAGAAATCGACAGTTTTATTTTTCACCTGTTGAGTAATGCATTATGCTCTATTTGTGCAGGAACTGTGAATGTCGCCGTCTGCTTTTTTGTGTGTTCATCTAGTCACTTTCCCCCTGTTCCACCGCCATCGCAGAGGGTCGCGAGTGCGTCAACTGCGGGGCCACTTCGACCCCACTCTGGCGACGGGACGGCAACGGTCACTACCTCTGTAACGCCTGCGGCCTCTACTACAAAATGAACGGCCAGAACCGACCGCTCATCAAGCCCAAACAGCGCATGGTGAGTTGCGACCTAGCGGCGAGCTTGACCTGACCTGGTATTGCAGAGGCGCGCGAGTGCGTCAACTGCGGGGCCACCTCGACGCCGCTGTGGCGCAGGGACGGCACTGGACACTACCTGTGTAACGCCTGCGGCCTCTATCACAAAATGAACGGCCAGAACCGGCCACTAATAAAGCCGCGGCGCCGACTGGTGAGTGTCTGGGCCGTCCCTGGGCCGCCGCAGCTCTGTCCCTGGGCCGCCGCAGCTCTGTCCCTGCGCTGTCGCAGCTCGCTGCCACAGCTCTGTCCCTGCCGTCCCTGCGCTGCCGCAGCTCTCTGCCACAGCTCTGGCTTCCTGCGAGCTTTGGCCGCTCCCGAGCACTATTCACCCAGCTCGGCTACTGTGTTGTGGAGAACTGCTCGGGTGTGGTCCGTGTGCCTTACTGGGCTCGCTCAGCACGCCTTACTGCATGGTGCATGACAATGTTACGCTAGCCAGATCGATGAGAGTGTGCTGGCTAGTTAGTCACTGCTTGATACATTTCGGATACCATTTCATTGTGACCTGAATTTATTTACCAGGCTTGTGAGCCAAAAGTATTCGAGCAATCGTGCAAAACTTGTGGAGATTTCAATGCTACATCAAAGCGAGTGTGCAATAAAAAGTTAAGCTGGGATCACGTAGGGAGTGGCATTTCAAATCGGTGATTGGGTCAGCGTTTTTCACACCTCACGAAACGATCGCACTCGCGACCATCATAGCCCGCTTAGTGGCTCCATTCTGCCTCACCGGAATGATTTGGCCAGTATTGAGTGTGGGTCAGTGGAAGCATGACAACAAGACGGGTTCAGCCGTCATCTGCAGACTAGCTGCGCCCGGAACGTGTCTGGTTCAGCGACCTTCTCGCAGGAAGGTCGCTCCGACAGTCATCGGGTCATGGTCTCTCTGACCAGGGCGGCGACATGTCACTCAGACGTCTGATGTCAGTCTCCGCGACCACAGGACTTCCAGTTGACGTCGGCTCGGTTTGTTCAGAGGCGCATTTCAGCGTTTCATTTCCATAGTCCCAGCAGTTAATCCGACTGCTCTCCAGCCTGGCATGTGGTGGCCGGTGTGTCCCGTGGCGCACGTGACACGCGGTACGTGGGCGCACGTGGCACTGACTGGTCAGAGGAGCTCGTGTACCCGTGCCCGCTGCCAATTCCTCCGTGACATGTGTCAGCTAGGCTGAGGATAAATCATTGCGGAGACAGCCACCGGCCCTAACGACTCTCAACTATTCCAGAAATCTGAACTTTATTGTGGCCATTTGGGTTTTTGTGCGCGGTGCGGGGCGCGCCGGGGGCCGGTCCAGTGCGTCCTTTCATGCCCGCACTCATATGGTCGGTCTTTAAAATGGCATAAAGCGGCGCGCCCGGGCCCGGCCGGTCGGCGGCTAGTTTACGAGGGCGACTGCAGCGCGCGCCTGGCGGCCTTTCACGTTTATGTTGATCAGGCGGCGGCAGCCTCTCTCTGGGCTGTGTGTGATTAATGGTGGCTGTGGGAGCGGCTCCGGCCTCCGTCCGCGAGCCAGGGTGGAGTCCGGCTACCGGGGACGCAGTGGACGCAGTTAGGCACGGGGGCACGTGGTCACGGGGGACGTGCAGTGGACGCAGTTAGGCACGGGGGCACGTGGTCAAGGGGTGAGATGGTGGACACGTTAGGCACGGAGGAGACGCGGTCAAGAGGGGACGCGTTGGCCGATGGTTGATTATGTGGGCGGCAGATGCTTATAGGTACAAACACGCTAGCAGCAGTCTACGACCACCTGGATACGTTTGCCTTGTATTTCAATCGAAAGTCCTTACACAAATTACACCTTGGCTCTCATTTATGGCAGCATAGTTACACTTTGTATCGTTTTATTTGTTTCATTTTTAACCCGCGCCCCGTTGGGCTCTGCCGAGCAACGCGCCCGGTTGGGGGGGGGCCATTTTGGCCCCCCCTAAGATCTCGAGAACCACGCAACATAGCGACAAGCGGTAAACGGCGTTGGATAGCCCCAACGGGGAACTACCTTGTGACCCAATTTTATTGACCTAGGTCAAACCGATGACGTCACAGGTCAGGTCAAAGGTCCAATTTTCACCGTTTACAGGCACTTCAAGAAATGCGTTGTAAAATCGAGTAAAATGCATTTCTTTGAAAATCATCGATGGGGAAATGTTCTTCAAACACATATTTTGCTATTTGAGGTCACTGATACCAGGTCAGGTCACAGAGGTCAGGTCACGGGGGGGTCACAATATGAAAGTGTCGTGTGATACATGTTTTATGGTCCATTTTACATGACAAATGCGATTATATGGGTCAGGCAGCCTTTGGGGCCAGCTTAGATCACGTTTTGGTCAAGGTCAGGTCAAGGTCAGGTCAAGGTCAGGTCAAATTAGGTCAAATTTCAAAGTTAATATTTTTGCATAAAATGGGTATCGAGTCGATGCAGCTCGTCACGGGGAGTTCAATGGTGGTCTTTGTTTTGCCGTACGTGGTCTAAAATTGCTAAAAATTGAGTTCAAAAATTTGACGTCATCATTTTTGAACAGTTTTTTCGCTATAACTTGGCCAAAAAACGAGATATCGATCTGAAATTTGCTATGTATATAGAAGAGCGCTGGGACTATCACATATATTCCGGTTTTTTTTCGAAATTCGGGAAATTTTTGGATTTTTTCAAAGTTTTTCTAAAAAAATCAATTTTTTGAATTTTTTTTGGTCAAAAACCAAAAATTTTGAAAATCCGAGATAGCAGTTTTGTAGCGCCACTTTTTGTCTACAATACCATATAAAGAACTTTGAAATTGCTTGATAACTGTAGATTTGGTGAGCGTTTCAAGATTGCATGTTTTTTGCTCATTTTTGCTCGAACATGACCTCAGTTTGACCTCAATAACTCCTGACCTAAGGTGACCTAAGACTTGAAATTTGGTGTGAAGGTGTCAAATTGATGCCCGGGAAGGTACTGAAAATTTGGCGGCGCTGCGCGCCGCCGTTTTCTTGCTATTCAGGAAAAACCACAGGGGGGGGGCCAAAATGGCCCCCCCCCCCAACGGGGCGAGGGTTAAGGCAGCACCATTTCACCTAGCGATTGTTTCAATAATTAACATTGGGTCAGACTTAGAAACTACCTGTGATTTTGCAACGTTGATCGTCATTTGCACCTTCGTTTTTTCGCAATTCCCTACTGTGGCCCCGCCCGTGGCGTAGGGTCCTCGTACTTTCATCCGTTGCGAAATCGGACGGTCAGGGGGATGTTGACAGTTCACCCGAACTGCACCCGATCCTGGAGGGTGGCCCCCGGCCGACTATGTGCCGTGCTCGATCGATTGCAATCTGCTGTGTTATTTATGATTTAGAATCATGTGGCGCACGAGTGTTCCAAGGCATGTCGTGTTCCAATAGGTTTGGACGCAGCTAGAAAGAAATGACAATGATGTATTTATAAATGTTATCGCCGCATGCATACATGCATGTGGCCTGCAACATGAGCCGACCACGTCCCAGGCGGCTGTGGTCTGAGGTCTGAGCGGAGAACTTATCGAGCGGCCGAGACGCTAACTTTTACCGAATGTGCTGGCTCTCGTTCAAGTTGTATTCATTAGACGGCGTACTTCATTCATAATGTTCACAGGACATGTTTTATTTGAACAGCACAAATGCCCCATTTCTAAAGTGAGATCGTGTTTCCAAGAGGCGGGCTGGCAGACGTGGCGCGTCGCCCCGGAGTGAAATAATAATTTACAGGTGTCGGCCCGTGGACGGTCGTACAGCGCCGCCCACCCGGGGGGCGCCCGTAACCGAGACGGCCGCGCCGCCCGACCACCTTCTACGGCGGTAAATGGATCCGTAAACGTACCCGAGAGCTGTGGGGCGGTCACTCAGTCCGACCGGCGCGCCGGAATTGGCCTGGGCGACATTGGCCGGCGCGATACTCGGCCTCAATTCAAACTGTATTATACTAAGCCATACGGCACCGTGCCGTACCGTACCGTGGCAAACCCCTGACAATCGCTGAGCACCGTGTGTGCAACGCCGCGCCGTTACCTGCTCCTCTGCGTCATCCTGCCTCTCCTTCACGGCAGTTGAATCCCCGTGCCGTCGCGTCCCAGCCTGGCCTCCTGATTAACCGGCCGGGCGCGGCAGCCCCGGGTGGGCCCACGACCCCCGCGGGGACCTGCCGCCGCCCGCGCCCCACGCTCTCTGTTTCCCGCAAACCGGCGATTAAACGACTCGTATTTCTCACCAATTAATTACCCGGGTGAGGGCGCAGGGATGATTTATCCGAGTCTTGTCCGGCTATGATGCGCTGGTATGCAGCGATCCATCTTGTCCGGCGATACGGGCGTTCCGACGGACCCTGAGCGTCCCTGGGCGTCCCGACGGACCCTGGGCGTCCCCTGGGCGTCCCCCGGGCGTCCCTGAGCGTCCCCTAATGTCGATGATGTGAGGGATGGTGTCCCAATCCGTACACGGCGACTTTATGCGCCTCAAGACTGCTTCTTAATATGAAGAGTTGCTTGATACTGAGTGGCTGGAGCAAAATACATTTCATCTTGAACCATATGCACGTTTATGCATTTTTGGATTTTAAACTTATTTGTTTGCAAGTCGGTGTGGTTTTTTGACTTATGAGCCGCAAAGAGCTGGACCATCGGAGTATCACTAGCTTGTAAAAATGCTCAAGAGAACGATAAAGGGATGACTGATCGATACATTTTGAATCAGAAGTATTGACAGCCAATGGTCTAGTGCATGATGCTGATGTAAACCAAAATTAATGACTCCTGTGATACAGACCCCTGTATGGCGACTGTATCAATATTGCTTCACAAAAATTGTCAGATCGTGCTCACTTCCACAATAGCGTATGGAGTATCCTCGCCGCATGCATCACACTGCATCCAGCGAGGCGCGACTATTACAAGTCGCTGTATGTGACGTCACAGCTCGGCTATATGACGTCACGGCCCAGTCACGTCAGCGCCGTCACATTATGGCTCCCAGTGCGCCGCTCGTCACGTGTAGGCATGGCGGCCGCGCGTCGTCATGCGCCGTTTTTGTCTCAATGCGCCAGTTTTTACCCGGCGCCACTGGACGCTGCGCCACTGTCGCCGCTGGTGACATCGGTGGCGCGGCGGTGTCGACCAGACCCGTTCCGGTCAGTGAGGGGTGGCTCAGGGGTGACTGTGTCCCAGGCGGGGCCGGGTCGTGTCGACCTCGCTGTGCCCATTAGACCGGGGGCGGACGCCGCTGTTCGAGCCCTCCCCCGATCCTATCTGCTCGGTCAGATATGTCAGCCGAAATCGGCACTGTGCTCGCACATCCAGCCTCAGCAGCTCGGTACGGCTGGCGCCGATGTGTTCGCAGATGCACCCAGCTTGTGGCGGCCGCAACACGGTGTTCCAGTAAGGCTAATTATCCTCGGCCACATTCATACTGTGATTAATGCCAGCTGAGGGTCAACGTCCCTGAAGAGCTTCATATTTTACGACCTGTAACTGCAAAACGTTTTACCTTCTTGAATTACAGGCGCGCTTTTTATTCGTTTCATTCTCTCTGACAGTCAGCACCTTGAGCATCTCACGAGCAGGTCTATTGAGGCCGCCCCCGCCCCGCCGCCGCCCCGTGTCTGTGCGCCGTTCCTCAGCGCGGCCCGGCGGCGCAGTCGCGCGGTGCGTAGCCGGGTAGCCGGCTGCAGGGCCGGCTGCAGCAGCGCAGGTGGCTGCTAGTTAGTGGAGACTACATTCCTGCCGGAGATCTGTGCCGGGGAGGGTGCCGCCGCCCACGGGTTCACCGGAGATGAAACACGGGTCAATTATGTGGCCGCGCCGCGCGCAGAGCAAACCTCCTCCTCTCCGAGACCTCAGCACCGAGCACTGCGCCAGTCAGTCGGCAGGCAGTGGATGAAACACGGGCCCATTACGGCCGATAGCCCGCGGCGGCGAACAGTTCGTTTTGCCGGCCAAGGTGCCACTGTCGCCCGCGGACTCGCCTCGCAAACACACCGCTCATTTAAACGGTAGCTCTCGGCAGAGCGCCGGCCCAATTTGCAATTAATAACCGGCGACGGCGCGCGCTTCTAGCATAACATCGGTAAATGGAACGGGCCGCCGGGCTGCGGCGCGTCTAATGACGGCTGCCGGGCGGCGGTGGGCGGCGAGCCGTCCTCTCCGCGCCGGCCGGCAGCAGTCCGGCGCGGCGCCGTGTCAGTTTTAACATTTATTGGCCATTTACCATGCGGACAGTGGCGGCCGAGCGGCCGGGCGCCGGTTACGGCCCCGGTAAACAGCGCCGTTCCCAGCCACCGGAGCTGCTGGTCAGCGGTCGGGGGGGGGGGGGTGGGGGGGGGGGGTGACTGGGCTACTGGTCAGTGGGGACATGGAGCTTCTGGTCATAGTTCAGTGACGACACGAAGCCGCGGCATTTCTACAGGACAGTGTCCGGGGAGGGGTTATAGAGCGGGCGGCTCTTTGGACGGCCACTTGACGCTGGGACGGTTGTCAGGATTTACCCCAGTGCGTACCCCTCTCGTCAGGGCCGACCATAGCGCCTGGCCTCCCGCCGGCGCCAGTCAGCCCTTTGATCCAGTGATTGCGAATGGCGTTGTTTGGGTGCGTATCATGAGGTGGCCTGTGCGAGTTGCCGGCGCGCGGCGGGGCGCCCCTCATTGACAGCGCGCCGGAGCCTGTGTCCCGGCGCTGTCCAGGTCTGCGCGCCATTGTGGCCGGCCCGGTTCACACACTTGTCGAGCCCGGTGCCGGCGGCACGCCATTGTCGGACGGTGATCAGTGCCGGACAGGTGAGCGGCGCACGGACTGTTTGTGCCGCAATGTGCGCCAACCGGAGAAAGATGGAGTGGCCGCCGGCTGCGCGTCCGTCGCCGGCGCCCGTTCACGCAGCGCACTGGTAGCCGTGTGCGCCCACTTAGCCTGGTTTATTGGGCAGTCAGCCGACCCTCCCCGCCGTGCAGACAATGTCACTCTGCAATTTATATCAATGTGCTCTCCATGGGGGAGCGCGCCCATTGGCACTAAAGTGGCATTATTCGTGAGCGGTTCATACCGCGCGACATTAGCATACAAACACTGCTGTCTCAAGTACCATATCTTTCGTTATGGCGATCTGGCCTGTCAATTAGGTGTATATATTGGTATTGCACTGCGGACCGGCGCGCCGAGTCGACTGCTAATCATGCGGCCGGGCCGGCCGGCGCGCTCGTTTGAGCCACCGTCGCGTCGGCCGCGGCGCCGAGCTCGTTTTGACGTCGGCCAACATACGAGAGCGGCGCGGCCGGCGGCTGAGTTACGGCCCACGACCGGTCGGCCGCGGCGCAAATACTGCACACGGCCACTCGGTAATGTTTAATTATGCACAGTCCGTGTCAGGGAGGACGGGCTCCGACCTCTGGCGGAATTTATCTACGCACCGACCGCGATTGTTAGAGCTGCAGGACGCCATGCTGACGTGTTAACTCCGCGCCGCTCCTATCGACTTCATAAGGGCAGCTCTGATATTGGCAGACTGTATATTGACGGAGGGGCGGCAATCTGCTGACCTAGGCTAACACCCCATATAACCCGATCTCTATTTAACCTTTGCTGAGTGGTGTATCCCTACATAATAACCTGTGCTGACGCCAGTCGATCTGCGTTCCCAGTCGGCCGCGAGACGAGCCGGCACGTCCTGCTCCAACTGCAAGACGTCGACGACGACTCTGTGGCGGCGGAACGGCCAGGGCGAGCCGGTCTGCAACGCCTGTGGCCTCTACTACAAACTGCACAACGTGAGTACCCACGCCTCCTCGCAGTCTGCCGGACTCTCCTCCTAATCACAGCCCAGTGGCTCCTCACCTCTCCCTTCCCTGCAGCCGTCCACTTCGTGAGCGCCAATCGACTATCGTCTCGTCGCCTCCCCTTTCCGACGACCCGCGTCGACTCCGACACTCGGCCGAACGGCCGGCGACGCTTCCTGTCTTCCTTCCGTCGGGGACGCGTGCTGGCGGGAACTCGGAAACAGTCCGGAAACGGACCGGAAACGGGCCGCGGCGCCCGCGCGAACGATGGGTTAATGATGTTGGCGACGATTGGTCCCGTGTCCGGGGAGGATATCCGTGACGACTGGTTCCGTGTCCGGGGAGGATATCCGTGACGACTGTTTCCGTGTCGAAGGATGTCCGTGACGACTGGTTCCGTGTCCGAAGGATTTCCGTGATGACTGTGTCCGTGTCGAAGGATTTCCGTGACAACTGGTCCCGTGATGATTGGTCTCGTTTTGACGGACGCTCGTCCAGCGCCATTGAATGCGGTGCAGTCCATGACAATACAGGATCCGTAGTCTGAGCTGAGGTCAGGGCAATGTTGAAGGCCCCGTGCGACCTTCAGTCAGACTGCCTAATAGAAAAAGTTCCTGAGTTCCTTTTGGGCTGGTGATTGGCTAACTCATTACAGAAACAAAGTAAGGAATGTGTTGACGTGTTGGTTGCATGATTACATGTTTATGCTGCTGGATGTCATTTGCCTGTTGAATTTTGGTACCAATTAGACGCTGCAAACTGCATTATTGTGGTCGTCTTACTCATCTCGGCAAGGAATAGCTTAAACGCATATTTCCTTTTTGGCATTCCTCTACGGTGATGTACTCTTCTTGCTATTTTAAGCCGTGTTAATCAGCATAAATATTAGTTTGTTGCATCAAGCATTATAATCCCTCTAAAGAGCGGCAGGTTGCATGTCTCATCAATAATGCCACGTGTACTTTACACAAACAAATTTTATACTCCTCAGACTCCAAACTTGTGGTTATGATGCCGTTTTAGCTTACATTTAGACGGATTATGCAGTGACTCATTTCTCTTCAAAGCATGCCTCTCGTTATTTTTCTCGTCGCTCGGCAAATCACACCGGAGTGCACTGGAGTGTGTTGGCGATCAGAGAGGCCGGCCGGTCGTTGTGTGAGCTCACGGCTCGTGCTCGTCAGGTCACGAACGGTGTGCGCCAGCCGCCGCGCGCTGCCCTGCACACACTAATGGCGCGTGGGCCCCGAAAACGCCGCATCACGGCCGCGCCGTAACAAGCCTCTATCTGTCTGAATTCATCGATCACTGTGCGGCGGCGGCGGCGTTCGTGGCGCGGCGCGCAGCGTCCGGCCGGGTCGGCGGCGCCGCTCTCAGACACGCACCGGTCGCCCTCCGGTGCGCCATCAGATACCGCTCACCTGGCTCGGGTGCTCTGAATATTATCAGATCCGTTAATTTGTGGCCATTGATAGGGGCTCCGATGCCGGTCGGATAGACCGAGGTTCAGAGCGGAGGAGTGCTCTGGGCCCGGGGATGGATCCCAGACCGGTGACCCCGCCGCGCCGGTTACCCTGTGTGACCTCAGCTGACCTTCAATGCTTGCGGTGGCATGGGGTCAGACCCACCTGGCCCGCCTTTGGAATAAATTCATGTCGTTATTCAGATTTAGTAAAGCATGGATATTGGATATGGAATTTGTCAAAGCCTCGAAGCGTATTCCATATTCCTAGCTAAATACCTATTGTTGTTACATTCTTTGAACATGAGTGTTAATTTTTTGTACGTCTCGTTTTGAATTTAAAACGACGACTGCATGATTGGAGGCCAGTTGTGATCCGAGTAGGCGCCTGAGGAGGGTCTGTCGTCTGTTGTACTCCGAACTAACCCTCCCCCCCCCCAGCCGACACCAAATCAGAGCAGCCTCGTGTGGCGCCGGCCCGACTCAAAATGGCCGCCGCTGCCATATATGGTGTCCGTCCGTGTGTGTCGGCCACCGTCGGTCAGTTCCGGCCCCCCCCTCCCCCCGACATCCCCCTCCAGCTGCTGACCCGCCCCGCATGACCGACATGAATCGCTAATGCCGTCTGGCCGCCTGTCCATCCGTCACTCGGCTCCTGCCCGTCACACTCGGACACAAACACGGACACAGAAAGGGGCAGGTGAGATTTCACTTTTTAGGCTTTGTCTTTATTCTCGGGCCACTGTGACAGAATCAGTTCGTTCGTGACCAGACGATGCCGGGTTTCACCGCGATTGCTGGAGGACTGCCCGGCACCCGCACCTGGCGGCCGACAGCACGCGCCGAGCGCTCTCTCTCCCTCCCTCCTCCCTCTGCCGCAGTTGGGGAGGGCTCTGCTCGTGGCGGCGCGCCCGATTCGGCCTCAGATAAAGTTCCAGCGCATCTGCGTGCTGCGCCGCCCCTAATGACTTTCACTTCCAATAAGGCGGAACTTCTGGGCGCCGGTCGCCGCCCGCGGCGCCACACGCGACCCTCCTGAATGATTCTCGGTCGATCCTTCTGCTGGTTTGTGACCGCCTAATAAATCCTCGCAATTACACAAACCCTCAGCATCAACAATCCGGTGTCATCCTTACTGGCTGAACCTTAAGACGGTAAAGGCATGTCTGAAACGGTCACAATTCTTGGCCCCAGCCAGCTGCCTGTCACAGAGCTTCATACACCAAGCGATTTGGCTGTGGTAGACTGACAGCGTGACAGCCCGTCCGTCTGACAGCGTGACAGCGTGACAGCGCACCTATTCCACCGACGGGTAATGTCTGGTGACTGGCCTCTGAGGCCCAGCCGCTCCTGTTCGGACAGGACAGCCGCTGTGTCACAGCCGCGCTCCCAGCGGACAGCGGACAGCTCTGCGGCATGTCCGCGTGTCCCGGCGAGACGGCGCCGGACACGAGACGTCACACCGGACAGCCGGACAGGCTCGGGACACGCGCAGTACAGGGATGTCTCCGCTCAGAACACATGTGCAGTGCAGGGTCGTGCATATGAACGCACGCGGCGAGGACAAACGTCGTGCGGTTCAAATGATTGGTGGAAAGAAAAGAGTGCTTGTCATGGGAGATCTTCACGACTGGACCATATGGCATCGCACCATGCAGCTGATAGTTTGGCCCTGCGGAGTGTTCCAAGGCGTGACATATCAGTTTTCTGTTCCTCATTTCTCCCTCCGATGTCGATGTCATGTCGTGAGCTCGGATACCGTCCCCACCTGGCCAGTTGTCGGGTGGCGCGGCTCCGTGCCGTCGTGTCAAACAGAGGTGGCGGGACGGCCGGCGCCGGCGCGCGCCCCGCCGCTGTTGTCTTAGTCACGGGAGAAGGTGACGGCGACGACCGCTCCCTGTCGGCGACGACGGCCGTCGGCGGCGACGTGTTGTCGTTGTTGGTGGCGCCGGCGGCGGCGGCGAGTGCTCTTAGCGCGTCTGTGAGCAAACAAACTGACTGTCGTCCGTCTCTGTTACGGCTCGGACGAGCGCCGGGCGTCACCGGCGGCTGGCCGACCGACCGCGCCCGGCCGCCGTGAGCCGCTTTGGGAAGTCGTGGTCCGGGTGACCAGCACTGCCCTCCGCCCAGACGTTCAGCGCCGACCCCTGCCGGCCGGGGCTCTCAGTAGGTACAGCTCATTGCATAATTATGTTTTATTTCTCGCAGTAACCAGTGACCAGGAATGGTAGGCTGTGCCGTATCACACATACTGCTGTCGCTGTGACCCTTCGCTTATCATGGGCAGCAGACACGATTAATTACGTGATAAGCTGCACCGGCTAGCGTTCAGTAAGCTGTAAGGTTGGGAGGAGTGGAGCATCATTTTGTAGTGCACTGTTCTGCGGCAGCCGGTCAGCCGGCCGGCTCGTGCCCGGTCAGAGGGCTACAGACGGTCCAGGTGCGCGCTGTCTGACGTCCCTAAGCCGCGGCATTTTTACCAGGAACGGGCAGATTTGGACGGCTAAACGGTGCTCTAGATCAGGGGTCGGCAAATGGTGGGGCATGGGGGTAATGGAGCCCTTTCGGTGTGGGTAATGAGGGATTCTGAGAAAGCCTATCTTTTTAGAGTTTGTAGCTCCAGTGATGGAGCCATCGTGACTGTTGCATCCCAGGGTTCAAAGATTAGCCCAGGCCAAAGGCACAGCACACATTGATTAGATACCAATTTTCACGTACCTGCTCGCCTCACCATCTCACCCCTCCGTACAGTCGTACAAAAGCAGCTGCAACTTTTAACCGTCGCCCGTCTGTTGGCGTTTCAACAGCCGCTAACGTAAGGGGGAGGAGTCGATCGGACCCCCGCGGCCTCTCGGACTCTGATATGGAGCTGTGCATAAAAAAGACGAGCGTGCTACCCGTGACAATAGGAAGCCGCTGCTGCCCATTTTTAAGGTCCTTGGTCATTCCGTCTCATTCAAGAGAGCAATGACAAGTGTCGAGAAAATCGGGACCCGCTATAACTTCTTGAAGTGAGATTTTATGGCTCAAGATGATCTCCAGAAAAAGTTCATAAGCCAACGGTCATTATGGGTCCAGAGGTCAGTTTTACCAACAGAAAAATAGCCGCCTGCCGGAATTTTTGCCTAAAGATCGTTTCGCATATGGAGCGTAAACGGTAAAGCCCTATCCGCTTACGAGCCCATCGCGTTTACACTCCGTATGTGAAGCGGTCTTGAGGCAAAAATTCCGGCAGGCGGTTATTTTTCTGTTGGTATAACTGGTCTCAGGTCATGATATTTTCCAGGCTGGTAAAAAAAAAATGATGGGCTCGAGGGTACAATTTGGTCGTGATCCAATGCCTTTTATGTGAGATTTTAACGAAAAACCACCCGCCGCCCCTATACGTACAAGGGTTAAATGGGATATAACATAGGCGGCGGAACGGGGAGGGCACCGGGGCGCCGTGCACCCTTTAATTTTTGCATTTTAACATTAGCCCTATGGGCATTGCATGGAAAGAATGGGATCAAAAGTCGGCAGTGGCCCC